CCAATCCAATCCAAGCAAAGGAATAATACAAAATGGTAGATGGAGACATAGAGAGAGAGGGACTTGTTCTCATTTGCTTGGTTCTTTTCTTTTAGGCACGTGCCCTGTGCCTCTCTACCCAAACCCGTGACTCACTATTCCCTTCCCGTTTTCTTCTTCTAGGTTTCATTTATACTTATAAAACTTTTGTTTTTGGTCAACCATTGGGTTTATATAAAACTTTTTCCCACGCAGTAGATGTTGAATAGTAAAGTGTATGGAATGTTAACTATACAAAGAACTTATGACACAATTTTTTTGAACTTGGTGCAGTGGAAGCAATTATAACTTAATAAGAGGTGGGGGCAATTACTACTTGATGGGTAATGAAAAAGGAGTTTGATATGTTGATGACTAGTTTAGCGTGATTCCAAATGAAAAAAAAAAACAATAAATGGAAGACGCATATGGTTCGACGATAGACCAAGTTTGAGTTTTAATGTTTCACACCAAATCTGGAGAACATATACAAATTTGTTTTTCTCGGTCAAAGGGAGAGCACTTAAAGAGTATTGGCATACCCATAATCAAAATGGACTGTTGATATATATTATCACTTAGCCATTAGGATATGAGAGTATCAAATCACACATATAGTAATAGTATAGCGTTGGAACTGTCAACAGTAACTTCTCTACACCCAAAACCGATAGTAAGATACATAATTGTGTCTTTCAGCAAACACATATGGGCTTAAATTTCTATGAAGAAAGAAAGAAAAAAGACCAAACTTTTTTTTATTAACATTCGACTCCAACAAACTGATGATGATACATATATCCTCTGTATTAGAGGAGCAAAGAATGCTTACTCGGGACCAACTTCCTTCAGGGCAAACATCTGCTCCTCTCCCATTACAGACACGACAATATCCTTTCCCTCCTCAAATCCAGCCTTGAGCTGCATTCACACCACAACCAAGAGAAACCAACCAATATCATGAATTATTGATAGACAGGAACCGAGTAAATCCTTCATAACTGGTTGATTTGAGTATATGCATGATGAAAAGACGACAAAAGTAACCTGTGTGTAGAGCTTCATCTGTTGGGAGCTTGAGATCATCCTTAGTGCTACCATTGTCAATAAGAAGACTGAGCTGTGTAATGTAATAAAGAGAAACCCCTTTGATATACGCATGTTGTGGGCGAAAGCAAAACAAAAGCTGAGATAATAAAGAATGAGAACATACAAAGCCATCTTCATAGATATCAATCAACTCGTAATCAGTACGGTTGACATGTGGAACATCACAATAGTGGGAAGAAAGAACAATATCTTCAAGCATCCTAGAAGTGAAAATATCAATGGCAACAAAGTGACATATCGCATGACCGTGCTTTCCAGTCTTGGAAGTTGATACCTCAACCACCTATACAAAAACCAAAGGAATCTAGCAATTCAAAAAAAATAAGTATACTAGATCATCAATATAAATCCCTAAATTGTTCATGCGTACCGGCGGTTATAAATACTTCTGTGGGAGTCAACGCGAACGTCGACGCAGTCAACAGACCGGTGGTTATAAATACGATAGGGTAAGATTGTTTCGTTGATTCTGTTAGTTTAATAGTTATGATGAATACTAATTCCCATTGATTTTCGTGACCCATAACCGCCGTGCTTGCAATCAATATCCACCCGTAGCCGTCGAATATAGCCAGGTTGGGAAACCGCAGGGTCGTTGATCCAGAGATCATTCCAAGCTCCACGAAGATCCTCGCCCTCGGGAACTTTGATTGGACCAGACCGTCGATGGTGAGAGAGGAGGCGTATATTACGCCGCAGACTCATGCTGATGTCAGATAAATCTTCTTCGTTGTGTGCTCGAGCATTTCCTGTGCGTGGCCACTTAGGAAAACCATTAGAATCGTCGCGCCATTGAAGAAGAGAGAGGTCAGCTTCGAGGTCGCACTATCAAACTCCGAAAGCGAGTAGAGCTTGAAGCGATTGGTGATGCTAACATTCTTCATGATTCTGTTTTTTGGTTTTTCCTTCTTCTCAGAAAAAAAATAGGGAAAATTATGAAAATAGTCAAAAAACAATCAAAATTAACAAAATAGGCCACGTTTTTTTAAATTAAAAAGGCTAATATTGACATTTTTATTCCTCTT